AATTAAACTTCCATCCCAAATATCTCATTAAGGTGACTCTAGGCAGCTCACAGTAAAATTCAATCAGCTGCCATATAGAATATTTAAAACAATAAATAAAAACCAGATTCCCCCATCAGATCATGCTGCCATTGCTCCAACAAGAAGATCACGTCCACTGTGACTGCTGTCTCGAGTCAGACCCAGGACGATCTGGGAGAGGCTCACAGACCCCATGGAGGCCATGAACCCCTGGGCGGCTTCCGAGGCCAAACCCAGGGGTGGCAGATTGAAGTCTCCCAGGACCAGAATCCTGGGCAAGTCCATGCCAACCCTGAGGCGGCCCCCAGCAGCTGAGGCAGGGAGGTGGCCATGCAGCAGGGAGGCTGGTATAGTAGCAACAAGCCCATCATGTCAGCCCAGCTTCAGAAACAGGGAGTCACAACCAGAATCGTGGGGTGGGAGCATCCTGAGTGCGAGAAGAGATTCTCAGAGGACCAGTGTAACTCCACCAATCCTGCCTGGGATCTCGTCGGGATCAAACCCTAAACCCAGCTGGGCACATCTCTGAAAGAGGGAATCCCCCCCCACCCTTCCACAGTCAGTCAGGTCTCAGCTATGCCACCAGAAAAGTCTCTAACCACTGGGGATCATGGCATCGCTAGTGGTTTCCCTATTTCCCCTCAAAGAATTGAGGGCAATTTCCTCCAATGGGGGCCAAGGCTCCACCATGCAGTCTGTGGGCTGCCTCCTCTGCCTGAATCCAACAGGGAGAGTTTCCCTTCTCCTCTGCAGGATGAACCAGTGCAAGGAAAGTGAATTTTGCGACAGCCAGCCGGCTTTCATGCCTAAGGCAGGACTAGAACTCACCTTCAACCCAATTAGACTCACTTGGTGCCCTCAACACTAAACCAAACTGACTCTTTTAATTATTTCACTAGAACTGGACATAGAGGGAACCCAGGGAGGATGAATTAGGGGGGGGCTTTAAAAAGGGGGGCCTCTCCCTCTTTTCATCTTCCCATGCACCCAAAGGCTTGCAAAGGGAGAGAATGGCTCATGTAGGAGCAGCAGCAGCTCCCTCTGACTTACCCTGGCCTGAACTGTTGGATCCTTTGTCACTTGCTGGAAAAGAAAGAAAGAAAAGAAAAGGGTGAGAAAGTCGCTCTCTTGGCTTATAGGTGGAGAAGCTCAACTTTTTCTGGCTCCAGCTCCCTCCCTCCCTCCCTCCCTCCCTCCCTCTCTCTCTCGCACACAATCAAAGACTCACAAACACATGGAGAGAGTTTAGATCAAACAGCTTTGGCTAAAAGGCATCGGAAAGAATTCTTAAAATGTATGTGTAGATCACACAAAGCCAGAAGGCAGAGCTGACTTAAAAAGATGCAGATGGGGACTTCCGGTTTGCTGCTGGCCACCGCCAGATGTTCCTTCGGGATCGTCAGCTTCCACTGCCTGTTAGAGCCATCTTCACAACGTAATGGCGGCTCGAAAAAACTCCGTTTCCATGAGGAAACGGAGATAGAGCCAGCTGGGGTGGGTAGAGCTCTCTGCATAGTCCCAAAAGTTTTTCTTTTACTTTTGGGACGGAGCGGATGAGCTTCCCCATATCCCCAGCCGCTGCTCCGGGCTTTGGGAGACCTCTGCTATATGCAGAGCCAGGCGACAAGAGCAAGCCTGCGAATTTAACAGATTGATTAAAGAAAATGTGAGCTGGACCTGTGATATAGAATCGCAAGTATTTTACTTATTTTATAAAAACTATTCAAGAGAAAAGGGGAAAGGAAAGAGGAAAAAAAAAAGGACTTTTAAAATGGCGTCTGCCGAGCCTTGAGAAGAGGCTGAAAAGGAAAGTTCTTCCGTTCTCTATTATTACAAAGTAGCGGAATAAATACCACTGGCTACAATTGTAGACAAAACTTCGCTCCCGTGTTCTTTTTCTCTCTCTTTTTTTCCTGGGGATCGGATATTGCTTCTGGTTGGAAAGAAGTCTTTTTTTTTTTTTTTTACAAAGCTTGCCTGGGCGGAAACATGGCACTGAGACTTATAAAGTCAGACAAACAAGTAGTGGGGGGGGATTCCCCCACTAACAAGCTAAAGGAACAAGTTTTAAGTCTTCAGTCTCAGCAACCTGATTTTAATATAATAGAATTTCTCTTAGAGGAGATTGTAAGAAGGGATGAGATTGTGAATCAGCACCTTGAAAAATTTAAGCAGGAAATTAAAGAATTGGTGAAATCTAAGTATGATTTTTTGGAGCGAAAAATTTTAAAAATGGCTAATGGCTTTTCAGAATTTATGATACAGTTGGATGCAAATACTAAGTTACTAGAGTCTAAAATGGAAGAAACTCAAGATAATTTGGACAATAGAATTCAAAAAATTGAAAATGATTTGATAAATATTCAAGATAATAGCTCAGAAGAAAAACCTAAAATGGAGGCTGATCAAAAGACTGGCAATGTAGAAAATTTGCAACAGAGGATTGAAAGAGAGGTTTTAATGGTACAATATAATTTAACTGAATATGCGATAAGACTGAGAGGTTTGCAGGAAAATAACAGAGATGATTTAAGGAAAATATCTTCTGAAATTCTAGCTGGGATTTTAAAGGTTCAACCTGAGGAAGTGTTTTGTAGGATTGACAGAGTTTACAGAATAAACTCCTGGATTGCAAAGCAAAGGCAATTGCCTAGAGATGTGGTGATTTATTTTACAGATAAAGAAATTAGGAATAACATTGTGCAAAATTCTTTCAATTCTAATTTGCAATTGTATGGAAGAAAGATTTGGATTTACAAAGAACTCCCACCTAAGATATTAACAGAAAGGAAGAAATTTGGTTTTTTGGTGACTGAGTTAAAAAAAAGAAATATTCCATTTAGGTGGGACGTCCCAGTTGGTATTATATTGAGATATCAAGGAGAAAGATACCAGTTAAATACTGTTGAAAGAGCGGAATAATTTTATCAAAACATTTTGAAAATGAATTTAACATCTTTAGGCACAATACAGGATAAGCAGAAGGAGTTGGAAATAAAGGGAAAATATCGAATTACAGAGACTGTACCAGATAAATTGCCTTTGGATTTTTTGGATACCCCAGCCGGATTATTTACAAATTTGAGAGAAGTGCCATCTGACTCTAACGTGATGACTTATCAAGTCAAAGACAAGTATGGATACCAACCAGATGATATACAAGGGGCAAAAAAGAAACACGAGATACAAAAACAAAACCAACAAGATCAACCTATAAAGCAGAATGAAAACTGATTAGTTGATATACAATCTGTAGAAAGGAAACCAGGATGGAAATTAAACCCACAAAAAGAAAAGAAAAAAAGAAATAGGTCGTACAAAAATAGAAATTTCTAAACCAAGCAACAGTGAAGCCAGTGACTTTAAAAAATGTATGAATATGTGAAAAGATAGTGGAGGTGAAGTATTGGTTAATATTATCCTGAGGACAGTGACAGACCTCTGCATTGCCGTAATTCTGGGATGTGAAAAGAGCCTTAAACTGTTGGATTTGAATCATCTACTTTGGATTTTTTTTTTTTTGTACTGATAAATATATTATAACTATCTTGAGTTACAAGGCAAGAGAGTTACGTTGGGGCATGCAGAAGATCTGGTTGCTACCCACTAGGATGATAGGAATCAATAATCCTGAGGAAAGCCACAATTACAACTATATGGAATATAACTATAATGTCACTCGGGTGGTTGCTTTTACTTTTATATATATATGAGGATATTTACTACTGATGGGGGCAGATATGATTGAAGATTTTGAACAAACTGTTGCATCAGGAAGCTATGTTACCCTATTATGGATGATGGTCTTAATAATCCAGCGGAAAGACTTCAAAGAAGATATTATATGGACTATAAACTTAAAGTCATTGTCTTTTCTTTTCTATTTAGATATATTGGAATATATACGTATATATATATATATATATATATATATATATATTTTCAAGCAGAGTGGGTAGTGATTCAAGATATTAAGAATTGTTGTGTATGGCAATTTTGCAGGAAAGTGGGTGAATAAGCTAGTTTACAGACTGATTAGTTTAAGAAAAGGGATGTTTAAGTGATATATTTAGGGGAGTGGAGGAAATGGACAGAGTTGAATAAATGTTAAATTAGGATTTATGGGGCAGGCCGCTTTAAAATGTTATATTAATATACACAAAAGATTAAATGTTAAAGCAGGATTTACTATATATTTTTAAAGCGGAAGGTGGTTTTGAAATGTTGTAAAATAATATATAGATAAAAGTTTGAAAGAGGAGAAAAAGGGCAGATTATTGTTAAATTGGGGGTTATAAAAATATGTTAAATTAGAAGTCATCATATAATGTCATAGTAGAATCTTTTCTCTTTCTCTTTTTTTTTCTTTTTTTTTTCTTCTCTTTTTTGAAATGTATGGTTAAAAGGGGATGTTATAATATTAATAATATTTCTAGTAAGTAAAGGTCAGTATTTAGAGGAGGGAGTAAGTAATCTGTTATGAATTTGGTTTTTTGTTATGAAGAAGTCACAGGGGGGAGGGGGGGAGGGGGGTTAGGGAGGGGGAGGGGGGGAAAAAAGGGGGAAAAACTTGTATTTGAAAACTTTTTCAATTAAAAAAAAAAAAGATGCAGATGGATCCAAAGTTTCTTTTTCTTACCAGTTCGTACTTAGTGAGCCTTGTGATGGGAGACCAAGAGGAGATCAGGCGGCATCCCCCAAAGCTCCTTTTCTCTCAAAATGCCCCCCTTTGACCCCTAATTTTATGGAGCTTCTGACTCTCCTTTGGCCAAGCCTTCCCTTGCTGCCTACTTGGGAAGCAGAGCATGTTCTCAGTCAGAGGGACCTTCCACCAGCCGGGTCTTCTCATCGTCTTGAAGGTTCCTTCTCCCAGATGTTTCTCCTGGAGGACTCCACTCCCACTAACACCCTAGCTCAGTGGTGGGTTCCTACCGGTTCGCTCCGGATCTTGCGAACCGGTAGAAGCGGCAGTGGGAGGCTTTGCCCACCCGCCATCATGGACACTCTGCACATGTGCAGAAGCACTGCACGCACACAGAAGTGCTGCACACGCTCCCAATGCAAACCATTAGCAAAGATAGCTGTAATGAAAAGGGGGCCCATCTTCCCCAGCCTGGATCTTCGAAGGAAGAGGAAGATAGCACACACAAACATACATGCACACTCCCCTCTCAATTAATGGTGCCTCTGGTCCCTGCTCTAAATCGGAGATTACATGTAAAGAGGACAAGTCACTCACTTGGCGTTGCTTTGTAGCCATCCTGACGTCTCTCTGCAAGGATAAAAATCAGTGAAAGCTCAAAAGAAGCCACCAGAGATCATCCAAACTCTCCCTCCGTAGGAGGAAGAACCCCAGGAGATACTTCACAGTCACTTTGTCCCATGAACAAAGACAGAAAGACCTTCAAAATACAAATGTATCTCCTGATTTGCCCCAAGAGAGACTTGCTGCCTCTGAGATGGATGGAGGGGAATTGGGGGAAGCAGCAGCAGCAGCTGGGAGGGGAGGAAGGTTTCCATGGAAATCCTTCTCTGCTGCTCTTTGATCAAAGCCTTTGAGAGGGACAAAGGAACTGGGATGCCTCTTCCCAGGTCAGGAGAAGACAGGACTGCCTGAATCTCAGACTCAGCTGAATTGAGACTGGAGTCCCAGCGAGAGGCTGAGATCTCAGATGCTCCCCAAGAGGGCTGGGAAAACAGGACTTCTGAAGCTGATAAGTTTCCCAAAGGGAGAGACTTGGGGGGAATCTCCCCATCTTCCTTCCATCACACCCCTCCCCCCCCAGAAAAGATACTTACTGAAGAATACCAGGAGGATCCCAGCAATCACACCCAGCAGGACAAGAGCAGCCACAACGCAGCTGATGATGAGCCATGGGTTGGATTTTGAATTGGTTGGTTCTGAATGGAGAGAAAGATCAGATCATTGATGGAGAACCCCAAACATGACCTAAAGAAATGACAGCTGGAATTTCCCCAAATTCAAAACTCCATGGGCTCATTTTTGTGTCCTTCTCAAGGTAACATGAAGACGCCTTGCTAACCGTTGTTAGAGGACGTGTCCTCATGATGCTGCCTCCTTCTCACACCAGCCCAGCATGAAGGCAACTGAATTCATCTTTGGCTTTTCCACTCAAAAACAGCCGTTTTCAGCCTTGTTTTTTTAATTTTTTAAAATTTGATTTATATGCCGCCCTTCTCTGGAGACTTAGGGCAGCTTACAACGCGTTAAGCAATAGCCTTCATACTTTTGTATATTTTTATACAAAGTCAGCTTATTGCCCCCCACAAACTGGGTCCTCATTTAACCTACCTTAGAAAGGATGGAAGGCTGAGTCAACCTTGAGCCTGGTGAGATTCGAATTTACAGTAATTGCAGACAGCTGGTGTTAATCACAATGCTATCAGTCTGCTGAGCCACCAGGCACCTTAGCAGCTTGCAAAACAAAAACTTCACCAACACAATAATATAAACAAAATTTGTTAAAACAAAAACATTTTTGTTGTTTTTATAGGCTGCTCCAATAAGCCATGACTCTGAGTGGAAATGGGCAGATCTGTACGCTTTTTTCTTCAGTTTGAGTGTTTGCATTTTATTATTTCAGGTAAAATAGTTCATATCACCTAGACTTTTTTAAAAAAATATACACTTTCATTTTCCTTGGCCAGTCCAGGGATAGCAAAAAATTATAATTTGTGCTTCCAGAACTTCAGCATGAAAAATGGAATATGGTGATATCCGACTTCTGGATGGTCCCACAAATGGCAGAAATAGAATAACGGAGTCACAGAGTTGGAAGGGACCTTGGAGGTCTTCCAGTCCAACCCCCTGCTCATTCCAGAGGCCCTATACCCTTCCAGACAAGCGGCTCTCCAGTCTCTTCTGAAACGTTTCTGGTGATGGAGTACCCACAACTTCTGAAGGGAAGCCATTCCACTGATGAATTGTTCTCCCTGTCAGGAAATTTAGTTCTAATCTGCTTCTTTCCTGTTGCTAGTTTGGTTATCCTGGTTAGGCCCATATATAAGAGACTGTAGACTTTCTTGTAATAGTAATATTTATTTCTTTTCTTTCTCAGGAACACAATTAGACAAGCACTAATCTGGGAGGAGCAAGAACTTATATACAGAGAAGGCGGGGCTAATGGTAAGTACTAACCAATGGTAAGTGACACAATGACATCACACAATGACATATACACAAGCACACATATTTACAGATATCAGGTTAGGTATTTTCATCTGTAACAAATCCCCCTCTAAAATACCTAACTAATGGTGGGTTATTAAGATTATATATGTACATCAAGTTTGGAAGTCAAGTACATATGTTGTTTGGTTGGCAATGGCTTAGTGAGGATATCAGCAATTTGTTCACTAGTATTGCAATGGATAGCTTTAATAAATCCTATACTTGACAGTTGTCTTACATGTTTATATTTTATATCGATATGTCGAGATCGTTGACCTATTGCTTCGGAAGCTGATATATCAATTGCTGCCTTATTGTCCTCATTGATAATAATTGGATAAACAGGTTCATCCCACACATTGGTTAACAAGTCATCGAACCAAGTTAGATTGTTGACCGCTTTGGATAAACAAACATATTCGGCTTCCGCTGTGGAAGTGGCAATTAAATTCTGTTTGCCTGTGTACCAGTGCACCGCACAGCCATTTATAAGAAAAACATATCCAGAAGTACTTTTTCTGGTTTTTGAATCAGTAGCCCAATCAGCATCAGCGTAGCAGGTCAAAGTTGGTTTTTCAGAAATGAATGGTTCTAAGAATAAGCACATATCAATGCTAGACTTTAGATATTTTAGAATCCTCTTAATTCCTTCCCAGTGGTATGAGTTAGGATTGCTTACATGTCTTGACAACAAATTTACAGCAAGGGTGATATCGGGCCTGGTCCAATTAGATATGTATAATAAGGACCCAATAATTGATCGATATAACGTGTTATCCTTGAATGGTTCGTACTCATTATACACATTCCTATAAAAATCAGTTGACATAGGAGTATCACAAATTTTTGAGTTAATTAAGTTACATTTTTGTATGAGTTCCATAATCTTGTCTTTCTGAGATAATTTGAACCCCTTATCTGTTTTGTCAATTTGGACTCCTAGATACTTATTTACCTTTCCTAATATTTTTAAGTTGAAATTTTTGCCTAGTTGTTCAGCGAAATTATCACATTTAATTTTGTCGTGTCCAAAATACAATATATCATCAACATAAATCAAAACATATTCAATAGAATCATTATTTTTTTTTGTGAAAAAACAAAAATCAGATGAAGTAGCTACAAAACCCATATTTTTAAGTATCTTTGATAAGCACTCATACCACCGCTTACCGGACTGTTTTAGTCCATAAAGGCTCTTGTTTAATAGCCAAATTTCTCCCTTTTTTGTATCCTTTCCTGGGGGTGCTTTCACATAAATTTCTTTATCTAGATCAGCGTGCAGATAGGCTGTCTGCACGTCAAATTGATATACTTCCAGATTTAAGATAGAAGCTAACACTAGTGCTGTTTTCACGCTTTCTGATCTAACGGTTGGGGAGTAAGTGTCTTCATAGTCATCCGGAAATCTTTGGGCAAAGCCTTGAGCCACCAACCTGGCTTTGTATAGGAATTTACCATCCTCTAGCTCCTTGATTTTATAGATCCACCTAGTGCCAATAGGGGATTTCTCAGTGGGCAGGTCTGTTGGTGTATATACATTTAGTTCTCTCAAACTGTCCATCTCTTTTTTCATTGCTTCCTCCCACTTACTTTTTTCTTCTAGGGGTAGCTTAAGTATGTCATCATATGTGTTAGGAGTCAGGTGTTTAGCTTGGATAGACAGTACGTAATCATCTAATCTTTTAGGAATTATGCCCCTATTGGATCTAATGGGCCTATTCTGGGGATGTTCATCGCTATGCATATACTTAGCTTCTTTTTCGGTTAATTGATCTACTTTCAAAGTGGGGTGTCCTTTTTTCCATTCATCATTAACTATTACTGGGCATTTGATTCTGTTAGTAGATGTGGATTTGGGGTTCGTATCTGATGTGTGATGTTTTGCGTGCGTGTGTGTAATATTTTTTGATTCTGGGTAAATTTCATTGAGATGTAATTTTGACCAGTTCATGTGTTCATGAAACACGGCAGATCTGGATACAATGAAGTGATTATTTTTATCAATGAAGCGATATCCCTTGGTTCCTGATTCGTACCCCATAAATATCAGTCTTTTGGATACTTTCTCTCCTTTGCGCCTTAACTGTGAGGGCACATATACATCAGCAGATACACCAAATACGTGTAAATGCCCAATTTTTGGTTTCCTTCCATACATGAGTTCGTATGGGGTCTTATTGATTGTACTGGACCATAAGCGATTTATAGTGTAATTGGAATAATTAAGGGCTTCAGCCCAGAATGACTGGTTTAAGCCAGCATCATCTAACACACATTTAACCATGGTTTGTAGCAAACCATTCTTCCTTTCAGAGACTCCATTTTGGAATGGGGAAAATGGACAAGATTTAAAGTGCAATATTCCTTGTGATTTTAGCCAAGTTGAAAATTCGTTGGATAGGAATTCCGACCCCCTGTCAGTCATTATTTGTTTGATTTTGGTATTGTGTTGTGTTTCTACCATTTTAAAGAACTCCTTAAATTTTTTGAAAACCTCACTTTTGTGGTTAAGGGTGTATACAAAACCAAATCTACTATAGTCATCGACTATGGTCAGGAAGTATCTTTTTTTGTATTTAATTGAAGGTTTTAATGGGCCTACTACATCCATATGAATTAGTTGAAAGGTTGATTGTGTGGTGCGAGTGGCTTTTTTGGGTTTTGGCTTGTTTTTAATTTTGGAAGAATTGCACACAGAGCATTCTAAGTAATTTTTACAGTTCTTTATTTTTAAATCTTCGGAACACTCTAACATTTTTCGTATGACTGGAAAGCTCGCGTGTCCTAGCTTTCTGTGGAGTAAGTGACTACAATTATCGTGAATAGGTTTTCCATTGTTTAAATTTTCAGACATATTAGTATCAGTGTTTGATGCATTCTTATCATTATTTTCATCATGGCTATCTGAATTTGGTTTTTCGTTTCTTAATTGATAGTTTGCATAGACTAGTTCGTTATCTTGTGGCAGTAGGTATGTTAGTCCATCATTTGTAAATAGTTTACAATATAATGTCACTCGGGGGGTTTTTATACAAAGAGGTTCTTTTTACAGATGCGGGCAGATGGCAGTTGAAGACATTGCAGACACTGTTGGACGAAGGGATTAATTTAACCTGGTTACAATATAATCAATTACAATTGAGATGGAAAGAGGACCAAAAAACTGGTATTATGTTGCATGAGGAAGAATTGGTTAGACATATAAGAGAGAAAGGTCCAATGCATATTAAAAGGCTCTACAATGTTTTGCTAGAAAGGGATTCAGAAACGGAATTAGTTAAAGATTGTATGATTAAGTGGGCACAAAATTTTGAAGAACCAGTGATGTTGGAAACATGGGAAAAAATTTGGGTTCAGAATGTTAAATTTACACAATCGCAGAATCTGAGGGAAAATTTTTATAAAATGTTTTATAGATGGCATTTAGATCCTAAAAAGCTGTCATGTATGTACCCTAATGTTCAGCCAAAATGTTGGAGATGCGAATGTTTGGATGCTACGTATTATCATGTTTGGTGGACCTGTAGGAAAGTTAAGGCTTTTTGGATAAAAATATGGTGGGTCATGCAGAATGTTTTGAAGAAAAAAATTCAATTTTCTCCACAATTGTTTTTATTGGGTATAGTTAAGGGTTTTACACGGGGTGAAATAAAATTAATATTGTATATGATAACAGCAGCAAGATTGTTGATAGGTAAATATTGGAAGAATGAAGCTTTGCCTACTATCGAGGAATGGACTTTGAAGATGGCCAGTTTTGCAGAGATGGCGAAGATTTCAGCATATTTAAAAGATTGTTCACAAGAGACTTATGAATGGGAATGGAAAAGGTGGATAGAATATGTTCAGAACAAATACCAAACTAGAAAGTACCAAATAGCTTTTATTTGAAAATAATGTATTAGAAATATCTTAATGTAAAGTGTAAATAGTTTACCTATGTTTCTGTTGTTCTTAGTCATGAATACCTTTCCACCTCTGAAAGTGGTTTCTATTGCATTCTCTATGCTTAACTTTAGGGTTGCCAATATGTTATTTGGAATTTCGGGCACAAATAGTACCCCCTCTATTTTTCCTATACCTTTTATATGCGTGTCTCCTATTCCTCTCACTAGGACTCTATTTTGGTTTGCTACTTTAATATAATATTTCTTTTCAGTGAAGTTACTTAATATTTCTCTATTATGAGTTGTATGGCATGTGGCTCCTGAATCTATGAGCCAGGTGTTGAGTGAATCAGATATCAAAGTGTTATTATTTCTTATTCCATATAGTGATCCTTTCTTATTTTCTCTAGGGTTATTTCTGTATGTTTGTCTTTCTCTAGAGTGTGGTGATTCTCTTCTCTTATACCTGTAATCTGGGGAGGTTCTGTCTAAAAAGTGTATTCTTCTATCCTTGTGTTTATATGAGTCACTGTATCCTATATTCTTGGGGCAGTCTCTACTCTGATGTCTTTCAGATCCACATGTGAGACATTCATGTGGGTATCTGTCTCTGGCCCTGAAATCAGTCCTTCTTTGATTTCTACCTTCTCTTTGTTGTGTATATCGCTCTCTTCTAAGTCTATCTTCAGTAATAAGCTTATTGGTAAGGTTTTCTAAAGTAATTTGCTCTATACTTAGGTTATCTATTAGGGTAATGTAGTTATCCCAGCTGTGATCTAGTGAGTTAATTATAATGCTTTTCATGGTGTTGTCAGAAATGGTTTCTCCTCTTTGAATAAGGTCTGCTCTTACAGCGTTTAAATTCAAGATATGCTCACTCATGGATGTATCATGTTTTAGTTTGGCAGAATAGAATTCCCTAGAGATTTTTGTGGTAGTGGCTACATTTTTGCTATAGAACAGTCTGAATAATTTTTGATATACTTCAAATACAGTTAAATTATGCTCTATACTGGGGAGTATACTTGGGGAAATAGAAACAATTAACATATAGTATGCTTTGTGATGGAGGCAGTCTATTTCATAGGTCCAAGGCTTATTTGGTGGGTTATCAATAAAAAATAAAACATTTTCTTTCATATATACAATCTGTAAACACTGATCCCATTCCATTAAGTTGCTTCCATCTAATTTCAATTTTATAAAGTCTGGAGGTATTGTCCCTGAGTGTAGTGAGGTGTTATTCATGTTTAGTAGTTGTCCATGGTTTAAGACCTTAGCATACTCGCAATAAGGTCTGGGGATGGTAGATGTATGTCTGTATTTACTTATCTCTATGTTGTCTTGACTTGTATCTATGTTTCCTTTTTCCTTTTCTGCAGGCTCTTTCTGGGCATGCTCAGTCTTCATTTTCTTCCAGCAGATCCTGGTTAGGCCCATATATAAGAGACTGTAGACTTTCTTGTAATAGTAATATTTATTTCTTTTCTTCCTCAGGAACACAATTAGACAAGCACTAATCTGGGAGGAGCAAGAACTTATATACAGAGAAGGCGGGGCTAATGGTAAGTACTAACCAATGGTAAGTGACACAATGACATCACACAATGACATATACACAAGCACACATATTTACAGATATCAGGTTAGGTATTTTCATCTGTAACATTTCCTTGTTTAGTTTCCACCCATTGCTTCTTGTCCTGCCCTCAGGTGCTTTGGAGAATAGCTGGACTCCCTCTTCTTTGGGGCAGCCCCTGAGATATTGGAACCTATCCTGTCTCCCCTAGTCCTTCTTTTCCTTAAACTAGAAATGCCCAATTCCTGCAACTGCTCTTCATATATTTTAGCCTCCAGGCTCCTAATCCTCTTTCTTGCTCTTCTCTGCACTCTTTCCAGAGTCTCCACATCTTTTCTATATTGTGGCAACCAAAACTGGATGAAGAATTCCAAGTATGGTCTTAGCAAAGCATCATAAATTGGTATTGCTTGGGGGAGGGGGGGCAGGTTTGAGGAGGGAACTTCAAATTTAAATTTCTCTTGCACAAAATCCAGGATTCCCATTGAATAGCAATCATGCCACTTGTGAATTGATGCTTGCTATAAACAACCAGAAAAATAAAACAAATATTTAAATACATGTAATAAATTTTCCCTGGGATATCAGCATAACAACTACATTTGAATATTTCTTGTATCGTGGTGACAATCATCAATAAAAAAATTAGAATTTGCATTTTGCAAATTTGGACGTCCAGTGTAAAAAACATTAGGGACGCTTATGAGAGAGGGATCTTTTCCTTGGGTTTTATGCTGAGCCTCAGGAATTCATGTATTGTATCATAAAATAATGTGCAACTTCTTTCTTAGAGCAGCAACACAGAGTGACCTTTTGACCTTTAAAGCAGGAAATCCTGTTAGTCTCTAATGGGAAAAAAACTCAGACTTTGGTACTTTCTTTTCTGACTCCTGAAGCATCAGTCCAGCTACTCTCTGCATTTCCTGAACTCAGCTGCAGTTCATCCGTTTTAATCAGAATTTGCCTTCAGAAAAGGGGCTACCAGACTCCTGATTCTTTTACTTTAAAAACCAAATCTCTTTCTGGTGCTCAGAGGAACTGCTGCTTTTCTGTTGGGGGAAAGAAACAGGGAAGGCCTCAGAGAGGATCTAAGGGCATTTCATCAGGATCGGCCAAGTATTGTGATGGGATTCTGTAGTTTCCATCACCTGAAGCCAGTTCTATGGTCTGGTCCTTGCAGCTTCACCAACCTCAAACACTGGAAAAACCAATGGCTTAAAGCTCAGGTATGCTCACACCTGGACACAATTGGGGTCAGATTTCTCTCCCACAACCCTCCAGCCTGCCAAAGAGCCCAGCCTTCCCCTTCCTGCAGCCTCTCACCCTTCAGTTCCAAGTCCAGAGGCTCCTGCAGGCTGTCATGATCCACATGGCACCGATAGCGGTCTCTCTCTTTGGGATCGATCCGGACACTGATCCAGTAGTGGTAGGTCCCATCCGCATTGGGGGCCACAGACTCACGGAGGGTGTCCTCCTCCCAGACCTCCCCGTCCCTCGTCCAGGAGGCATCGATCTCCCTGGGGTAGAAGCCATGGACTCGGCAGATGTGCGTCTCCATCCCATCCTCCACCTCTGTCCTGCTGCTCACCGTCACCTTTGGGGTCTCTGCAGAAACGGCACCCCCAGAATTAACTCTGAGCCCCTCCAGAGCCTGGAAGGTGGATGACAAACTTGCACATTTACAAGTTTTATTGGTCCCCCCCCCCATTTCCCCACATCTTTTTTGAACAGAGTATTGGCCGTTTCTTGTCTTATACAATTAATTAAATTCAAATATATTTTACTCAATTACAATTCTTGCCAAAATCTGTGGGAATGGAGATTTTACAGTATCCTTCCCCTGCCACATCCACCAAGCCACGCCTACCAAGCCACACCCACAGAACTGGTAGTAAAAAAATTTGACTCAACCCCGGGTAGTGATGGGAGCAGCATGGCGCTCCCATGTAACACCGCTCCTGCGTGAGCTGCACTGGCTCCCAGTGGTCTTCCGGGTGCGCTTGGTTGGTTATCACCTTTAAAGCGCTCCATGGCATAGGGCCTAGCTATCTGCGAGACTACCTGCTGCTACTGACGACCTCCCATCGACCCGTGCGCTCCCACAGAGAGGGCCTCCTTGGGGTGCCATCAGCCAAACAATGTAGGCTGGTGACCCCCAGGGGGAGGGCCTTCTCGGTGGGGGCTCCCACCCTCGGGAATCAGTTGCCCCCGGAGATAAGGAGAATCCATGACCTCAATGCCTTCCGTCGTTCCCGAAAACCCATCTTTTCCAGCAAGCCGGGTTGTCTTAAGAAGAAATTTTTAAATTCTTTTAATCAGTCTGTGATTTTTTAACTTTCGGGCCAAAATTTATATATATTTTTAAATGTTTTTTTAATATTTGTATTTTTATCTTGGCTGTACACCGCCCTGAGTCCTCAGGGAGAAGGGCGGTATATAAATTGGAAATTAAATTAAATTAAATTAAATTAAACCTGAAAAACCTCCAGAAGCAAATTGAAGGTCCAAGAAAGTTCCTCTCTGATTGCTTTGAACTCTGACTGATCTTGGGCTGCTCCCTTCAGGGGATAGCGTAGATGCTCTTTTAAGTTCCCTTTAAAGATGACAACAACATAGAAGTTTCTCTCTACTTTTTCCATCCTCTTCTGCTCCCCTGAACCTGAGGCTCCTCCAAGCCTCTTTCCAAGGGAAGAGAGATCAAAGGGAATCTCACACAGATCAATTTGGAAAAGAGATTTTGTCTCTGAAAGGGGGGGGGAGGAGAGAGAGATTGATGCCAATGGAAGAGAGAGAAGGTCCTCCCCAGGCTGGGATGGGCTGTTGGCAATCATCAGTGGGGGGGGGGGGGAATGGATTCCCCCATTGATCCTAATTTCATCCAACTGATCCTGGAGGGATTAAGGACCCCAGGGGGGAATCGGTAGACCTAGGGGAGAGGAATGGTCTATATCAGTGATGGTTAACCTTTTTGGTGCCCCCGTGACAGACCCCCAAAATGCAATGTGAGTGCTCCCTGCGCATGCGCCCTGGGCCCCGTTTTGGCTTCCGGGTTGGTGCAGGAGGCTTTTCAGGCCCAAAATGGGTGTGGGGGGGAGAGGCAGCTAGGACTCGATGAGGGAGAAACTGTGGAGTGTCAAGTTTCTGAAAGATGCCCTAATTAATTCATGAGCCATGATCCAAACTTCAAAGGCAATATAGTGATTTATTGGGAGCACCATTCCGGCAATACTCGGATGCAGTCAGGACTGATCCCACGTCGATTTATGTTCCCCTATGACCCTGTCTCTCCCCTCCCCCCTGGCCATGTCATAATCACATTCTCCAATTAACCACTTTGGCTGGCTGTGAACCCTAACACCCTCCTTCTGATTGCGGTCAGAAAAATGTATGGAATTCACTTCAGTTCTCCCTCCCTCCTGCTCATGGCAACTTGAAAGCTTTGCATGTTGACATGGAGATCACATCCTAGCTTTCTCCTGCCTTCCTGCCTTCTCCAACCTTTGCAGTTTCTCCCCCATCGAATCCTAGCTGCCTCCTGCCTTCCACGATCTCCAAAGTTTCTCCCCCATCGAATCCTAGCTGCCTCCTGCCTTCCGTGCCTCCTCCAATCTTTGCAGTTTCTCCCCCCATCCCGTCCTAGCTTTCTCCTGCCTTCCTGCCACGGAGAGGCACCTGCAGAGGGTGGAACCTGCAGAGATCGGGGAAGGCCCTGCCCCCGTGCACATACGTGGCAGAGACCCGAAGACCAACTGGCAGGTGGGAGGTGCACGCATGTGCTTTGGAGCTGGGCTGGGGCGACGGCTGGCATGCCCGCAGAAAGGGCTCTGCGTGCCACCTGTAACACGCGTGTCATAGGTTCGCCATCATGGGTCTATATGGTAAACTAATAAAAAATTCTAGGAAACGATTATAATGTGAGGTTTGACAGAAACTTTGTTCCCCCCACCGTCCTGGAAAGAAAAGAAAAGAACCCCTCATCCATGGCCTTCTTTGCCCAAGTGGGGGCACTGATAATGTCTTATTAATGGTAGAAGTGGAGCCCTCTAGCGGTGGGGGTGGGAGATGCACCATCAGGTACAAGGCAGGAAGGGAACCCCCTGTGGGGATGTGGGGAGAAGCAGAGTTAATGGGGGGAAATTAAAGGTGCCCACCACACTTGACTACAGTTTGGCTAGTGGAGGTTTCATTGAATAGCCCCAAATGGTTGCCTTATTGTGGGCAGTGAACAAGACACCAATAAGTGATTGTCCTGCCTGATCCACCCAGACAGCCGCCAGGCAGAGGCTGCATTTCCTGGTCCATTGAATGGCTGCCTGGCAATGGGAACCAAGCAGGGCTTCCCATGTCTTGGAGAGAGGCTGAAAGGGGGAGGATTCCTACCAGGGCAAACAAGCTCCAGACCAGGGACCCAAAGGGGCTGAATGTGTACAAGAGATCCGGCCATAAAGGAGGAAAGTCCAGTCTGCATTCAGATGCTCACCTGTCCTCAGCAGCGTCTCATTCCCATAGGACAAGTACTTCTCCAGCCACTCAATGCAGATTTCCTCCAGGTAGGTCTTCCATCCCTGATTCTCTCCTGGAATAGCATCCCATTTCCTCTGGGTGATCTGGGCCAGGGGATCGGGAGCCACCCAGGTGGGGATCTCCTTGTCAAAGGTGAGGAAGGTCCTCCCTTCATAGCCAAACTGCATAAACCCTCCTTTGCTCCCGTCTCTCCGGAGCTCACAGCCATACATCACCTGTATTATGTGAAGTCCTGAAATAGGGACAAGATGATGGTTTGGGGAGTCCTCAAGATAAAGAGAGATCCCCCTCCCTGCAGGGACTTTTGACACTGGAGGGAGGCACTGATTCCCCCATTTCCTCCCTAACAATCAAGGGAAAGAAAGCCCCCATCACTAACCGCCCTTCTCCCCTCCCTCGACCCGCCTCCCTACATTTTCCCTCCCAGGATGGAGCCCCTGAACCTCCCCAGGAAAAAGCAAAGCTGGAAAAGCCAGCAGAGGATCCCAAGGGAGACCGAGAGAAGGAGGAGTCACAGAAGAAACGGAGGGATGGAGATCCTTCCATCTTTCCTTCTAGCATTTCTCTGTTGGGGAGACTCGGGGGGGGGGGCGGAGGAAGGGATCCCAGAGAGGGAACAATTGCCTGAATCTGCGGCTGCAAAGAGGGACTGAGAATCCCATGGCCTCAAAGAGGATCTGGTTGATCTACACAAAAGCTTGCAGGGATCCCTGTGACCATAAATCTTGGTCTACCTTCACAAATAGAAGCAAGTCACAAAGGCTGGTTCCCACTTTGGGCTAACCAGAAACAAACCATGGTTTAGTGCAATGTGGGAATGAAGCCTCGAAGGGCCACAAAGGAATATTTTCCTTAGCAACAGCAGCCAGTGGCACAGTCTCATCTGGAGACCCAAAGGGTTATTAACCTTTGAAATGAAGTTTGAAGTTCACAGTCTTTGCAAGGCCCTGGAGAAGATATTTCAACTTCGAGTGAACAGATTCTTGGATTTAAAAGAAAACTGAATGTTTGAAAAAACCAAAAGGAAATCTTGAAATGTTTCTACTCCTGTCTGGGCTTGAGAGGGAGGAAGGACGCCAGGAATTCTCAAATCTAATGGAAAACCTCCTGTAAGGACAGTTGAACTAAACTGACCAGTCCTTTCCCTCCCTTTCCACACCCAGGAATGACGGGTGAAGCATCCTTTCTCTGCATCTTCTGCTCAGCCAGCAAACTTCCCTTTGGAGGAAGAGGAAGAACCTCGTGAGCTGCAATCTGATCCTGCTCTCGAGAGGAGATTCCCTGATCTCCCCATGGGAAAAATAGTTGTGGATTTCTGCCCAAGATTAATCTCCTGCCATTCACAGGAAGGCCCTGAACATGTGGCAGCAGTTTTCAACTTCTGAGAACAAGCTCTGTCGTACTTCAGAAGCATCAAAAGCTAAGACAGAAACTGTCTTATTTCACTTGAAGATGAAATGTGTTCTTATTTCAAGTTGGGCTGTTACAGATGAAAATACCTAACCTGATATCTGTAAATATGTGTGCTTGTTTATATGTCATTGTGTGATGTCATTGTGTCACTTACCATTGGTTAGTACTTACCATTAGCCCCGCCTTCTCTGTATATAAGTTCTTGCTCCTCCCAGATTAGTGCCTGTCTAA